AACCTGTGGTCAGCCTTGAGGCTTCCAGCACTGCAGTTCGGTGCACTAGTGAATATACCACAGATGCTAGGCCTATTTTCTCCATCTTTGAGTAAGAGTGTCTATTGCAGTTATCCTATCTTTGTTTCAGCATTGTTATTTGTATATGTAACTTGGTTTTTAGTTCATACGTCTCCAAATGAAGCAAAGTGGCAAGTGAACTGCCTCATCCATACCCAAATCTAGTGTATTATGTTAGTTCATTATTGCACTGCTAACAGAAAATATTAATAGCTCAGACTGGATGATTTATAAGAAATAGAGGTTTATTGACTCATGATTCCTGTGACTGAAGAGCCCAAAGGCATGGGGGACCAGCAGTTAGCGTAATGGCTATGTTGCTGGACTCCCACGTAGTCGATAGCGGTTCGCATCTTGGACCCGGTGGCTTAAAACTCACGCCGGGCGCGTGTGCGTGCATGCTCAAGATCCCGAGAGGAGAATGGAGGAGAAGGGATTGCGGAGTGACCATCACCCCTGGGGGGTGATTTCTCACTTTCTGTCTCTCTGTCTCTCTCTGTCTGTCTGGCGAGTGCACGCACCCTATACTGAAAACCTCTCGAATAAAAAAAAAAGAGCCCAAAGGCATCACAAAATGGTGAAAGACACAACTTAGAGCCGGGCAGAGTGTGATCTAGATTCATGTGGCCTTCTTCTGCCTTATTTCCTTTTTTAGCAATTTACCAGGATTCAATCATGGTGCCCCAGTCCTGGTAATATTATCACACCCAAAGGCCACACCCTGAGGCACCATGAAGGGATTAAGTTTTCACTTAACACTTTTGCAATACAACCAAATCCAACAAATAAACCGTTGGGGGCCCAGCAGGTGGCACAGTGGTTAAGGGCTCTGGACTCCCACATGACTGACCTTGGTTTGAATCCTGGACCTGGCAGCTTGCTTTCCCACTCTCCCTTTCTCTCTGTCCCTCTCTGTTCAAATTAAAATAAATACATGAATAAGTGAATAAATAAAACAACTAAAGTTCAATAAAATAATTCTTTTAAAGAAAGGTTTAAAAAAAAAACAAAAAAAATTTTTTTGAGGGATAAACCATTATCTGGACCATACCATGTAATTTACTAGATTCTGGACTTTATAACCAATACTACACAGAATGATTCTAGGGGAGAGGATGAGTATATTTTATATGTCTTTGTGTGTGTGTGTGTGTTCATGTGCATGTGTGTGTTCATGTTCATGAAAGAGAAAAAGAAAGAGAGAGAGATAATTGCTGTGGCTAGAGTATGGATCATGGTAGAACAGTTCCAGATATGACTGCCAACAACTCTCCTGTCCCAGACACTACTTCCATTCAAAAGTATAGTATCGGGCCAGTAGGAGGCACGGTGGTTGAGGTGCTGGACTCCCACATGGTCAACTATGGTTCGAGTCCCGAACCTGGTGGCTGGCTTTCTTGCTCCCATGCTTTCTCTCTGGTCAAATTAAAAAATAAAAAAAAATAGAAATAGTAATGATGAATAAAATTAAATAATTCTTGAAAAAGAAAAGTATAATACCTGCCCTGTCCCTTTGAATCTGGGCTGGCCTTGTGACTTGCTTTAACCAAGAAAATACAATGGAAATGACATTCTGGGACTTCTGAACCTAGGCTTTAAGAAGCTTTTGTAGTCTGCTTCTCCTTCTTGGGGTCTAGGCTCTATAAAGAAGTTTGGGCTGGGCCATTAAATAATGAGCAACCACATGAAAAGAGGGGATCCCCCAGCCACTTCAGCTGCTCCTACTGAGGTGCCGGACATGTGGGTGAAGCAATCTTGGACATTCCAGACTCAGCCAAACTCACGGCTAAATGCAGCACATGTCTGGTCCTCGTTGACATCATCAGGGAGCAGAATTGCCCAGCTGTGTCTTTCCCGAATTGCAGAATTGTGAGAAAAGAAATGGCGGTGGTTGTGTTAAGCCACGAAGTTGGAAGGTTGCTTATTGCACTGCAATAAGTAACTGAAACAGTCATCAAATGTCAAGGTATTTTCAATTCCTTTCACTTTACTCTGGGCTGTGAAGAGGTTGTAATGTATAAGGCAAAGAAGTCAAGTTGTCAAGGCAGACTAATTTCCATAAATGGACCTCAAATGCCATTGTCATTCACTCTGTCCACAGAGCTTAGTGCAATACTGGTAAACAATAGACTTCCCAATATCTATTGATTAAATTATTAAATGAGAAAATAGAAACAAGACACCCTACCAGAACAGAAAAAAAGGATACTTTAAACAGAGTTTGCTCTGACTCTATGGCACAGCAGTGGTGTACCGCTCAAGAGAAGCTGGATCCCACACAACCATGGTCCATGGTTCACATCCCCCACCTGGTCAGCCTGAAACATACCCAACATGTGTGTGAGTGCCCAAGATTTGAGGGGCAGGAGGATCAGAGAAAGGGGATTAGTGTGTGACCAGTCCCTCTGGGGGGTGCTCATTTCTGTTTCTCACCTGTGTGTACATGTATTCTATCATGAATAAAGAAGGAAGAGGGGATCAGCAGGTGGTTTGGGGGCTTAAGGTGCTGTCTTCCCATATGGCTGACCGTGGTTCGAGTCCTGGACCTGGCAGCTTTAAAATCATGTTGAGCACATGTGCATGCATGCCCAAAATCCCAGGAGGAGAAGGGATCGCAGCACAGTCATTCCCTCCGAGGGTATGATTTCTCATTTTCTCTCTCTCTTTCTCTCTGGTAAATGCATGTGCCCTGTGCAAAAACCTTAAAAAAGAAAAGAGAAAAAAAAATGAGTTTATCTGATGCATTTTCTCTTTCAAAAAGTTTTTTTTTTTGTTGTTGTAAGAAAAGTGATGCCTCAGAGGTAAGAAGGATGTTCCGAATGGAAAGATTTGAAGGAGTATGGCATTGTCAACCTTCACTCCTCAATATCTCTATTATACCAAGACAAATGTGGGCTCCTCCATGAAGCACCTGGTAGATGTCCTAATATATCCGCTATACTGGAATTGTTTTTTTCTATTATTGGAAGAGTTCAAAAGCAAAATATGTGTTTCGTAGGGCTAGAGTTAGAGTTAGTACTAAGGGGACTGAAGTAGGGTACATAACAGCCCATGTTAGCTTGGACACGAACACAGTCAACGCCATCTTGTTCATCACTCCCTGGCTCACATGACATTTCTGATTGCCCCTGGACACAGTGTCTGTTCTGCCTCATGGTTCCTCCAAAAGCACTCAACTCCACCGTTATGTCTCAGAGAGTGATAGTTTCACATGTCACATCTCTCTATCGAGATGTAAAAGCCATCTGAAATAGCCTTGAGAGAGAATTAGGACATGGAAAACTTACAAACAATAATAGAAAAATTCTCTTTTAGAATATAGTGATTTGTATGATCCATAGCAGAGCCTGTTGGAGACTATCTTGGGAAAACTATCTTTATTTAAAGAACAGAAATATTTGTTATTAGTATAAGTAAAATAGGGGGGAAAGCTTCAAGCCTTTGGAAGAATGGGGTGGTTTAAATTCAAACCAGTAATTATTACATTTTTTGTATTATTTAGGAAACAATAGTTAGATAAAAATAGAGGCGATTGCTTAAAAAATGAAAGCCATTGATTTAGATCTGTTTTTGAAAGGTCACTGTGTGGGAGATGAGAAAGGCACTATAGTGATCAATGTTCACACAAAAGACATTTTAGTGCAGCACCTACAAAGAGCACATCACCCACATCAAATTGCTGGTCGTCATCTCACTTATCTAAGAACATAAGAAAGAAATTTTCTTTGGACATTCTTTGGGTGTAGTAACAATACAGTTTTAGAATCAGCTGTTAGAAGCTATAATTAAAACTGGTTTATCATGTTCATTAATTATTCTATATAGTTAGTCTCCCTGAAGCTTTAGATAATTCTCCCTTTGTTATAAGCTTCTGTTTCTCCCTAGGGCATTCTGAATCCAGATAGGTAAGGAAGAAATGCCTGGAAACCGCGTGTATTGTAGTATTACCAAGCAGGTATTTTCACTTGAACTTAAACATTCTTATCTACTTTTGAATTTTTGGGATGTTAGATAGGGCCAACTATTTCGAGGTTTCAGTTCTACCCTTTGGGTGCGGAGATCCCCTGGGTAGAAGAAAAATAAAAATCAAAAATAGTTACATCAGAGTCAGACACTGGTGCAGCAGTAAAATGAGATGTCCTGTGAGGCAATCCCACATGGGAAGGTTCCTAGTTCAAGTCCAAAGACTGCCCTGAGTACGTGGAGGGGAGCTTGCCTCTGATCTGTGACTGGCTTTAGGGCTAGGGGTGCTTTTTCTCTGTTTTGCTCATGGGAGAAACAAATGAACCTTTTTCTAAAAAGGAGTGTCTCTTTCAGTATATACTTAACACTTGAAGGAGAAGACGTTTTTATTCAGCAGCTTCTAATAACCACCTGATGTTGCCGTCAGGCTGGCCGAGGATCTGCGAACGTCGGTGATCCTTTCATTCACCACTAGAGAGAAGTAGAGGGAGCTGATGTTTAGACAAGCAGCAAAACCCATTTCCGTCAAATTGCTGGTCGTCATCTCACTTATCTAAGAACATAAGAAAGAAATTTTCTTTGGACATTCTTTGGGTGTAGTAACAATACAGTTTTAGAATCAGCTGTTAGAAGCTATAATTAAAACTGGTTTATCATGTTCATTAATTATTCTATATAGTTAGTCTCCCTGAAGCTTTAGATAATTCTCCCTTTGTTATAAGCTTCTGTTTCTCCCTAGGGCATTCTGAATCCAGATAGGTAAGGAAGAAATGCCTGGAAACCGCGTGTATTGTAGTATTACCAAGCAGGTATTTTCACTTGAACTTAAACATTCTTATCTACTTTTGAATTTTTGGGATGTTAGATAGGGCCAACTATTTCGAGGTTTCAGTTCTACCCTTTGGGTGCGGAGATCCCCTGGGTAGAAGAAAAATAAAAATCAAAAATAGTTACATCAGAGTCAGACACTGGTGCAGCAGTAAAATGAGATGTCCTGTGAGGCAATCCCACATGGGAAGGTTCCTAGTTCAAGTCCAAAGACTGCCCTGAGTACGTGGAGGGGAGCTTGCCTCTGATCTGTGACTGGCTTTAGGGCTAGGGGTGCTTTTTCTCTGTTTTGCTCATGGGAGAAACAAATGAACCTTTTTCTAAAAAGGAGTGTCTCTTTCAGTATATACTTAACACTTGAAGGAGAAGACGTTTTTATTCAGCAGCTTCTAATAACCACCTGATGTTGCCGTCAGGCTGGCCGAGGATCTGCGAACGTCGGTGATCCTTTCATTCACCACTAGAGAGAAGTAGAGGGAGCTGATGTTTAGACAAGCAGCAAAACCCATTTCCGTTTTCTTCCTTCAGCCAGATGGAAGTGTGTGCAGGCTGGTCTCCACTCCAGCACTTTGGTATTGGTGGTGCACATTCTCTCCCCTCTAGAGCAACTCTGTGCCAGGGGAATCAAAAAGGATCCTTTCTCCTCATGCTGCGTGCATGAGAAGACAGAAATGAACCCTGTTTCAGTTTTTTCCCAAGGAAGCAGATTTCAGAGCTTTCCCTTGCTATGAGACTAATCATCACATAGGGAGACTCCAGGGGAAGTGTAGAGTTAGGTAGTGCTAACAGCTGGGACTCTAGGGACAAGAAGAGCAACCCACAAGAGACACATGGGGCATTTTACTCCTCCCCAATCAACTCTCCTTCATTTAACTTTATCTGTATCTCCCCTTCGCCCACTAGGCAGTAGTTGATACCAAACAGCACAGCGTGGCTTTTCATCATGTAACCTGCCAGAATATCCAGACACTAGGGACTCTCCTCTCTAGGATACACGAGGTTGTGTGGACAACATCTGTATCTTTGGCAACCAGATGGAGGTCTTTCTTCTATTCTGTCCAGGTTGCTGTCCATTGCCTTTTCTCCTTTTGGTTGCTGCTTCCCACCAGCTGACGAGAACCACGCAGAAAGCCAGCCTTTCGTGAATATCAACACTGAAGCTTCAGTAGGTTGCTAACTCCTGCAGAGCTACCTTAAAAGGATGTTGGATATAAATGCAAAGTTTTACGGAGCCTCAGAGATCTCTAAGAACCCTGTAAATATGCCTGGTTTAATTAGTAGTCTTGGAGTTAGGTAATGGCCTGTGGCTTTCTGAGCTAGGTCTCTTGGGGTTTCTGGTCTTCAGGGGCTCCTGCAACTACGATGTGCTCATATACAATCTTCTTTCACACACCGCATAAATCCTTTTTAGACCTTCGCAGGCACTTAGAATGATCGCGACACACATGCAAAATGATTCCCATTCTCTCAGATTTGGGGTAAAAAGCGGACTCAGTGCCTCTGCCTAAATCTGAAGTCAGATACTTTTGTATTCAAATTGTCACCCTAAGTTTTACTTCCCCAGGGAAAGAAAAAAAAAGGAAGAAATTTCTAGGTCATGGTTGGTCGATGCGCATTTTCTAAGCAGAAGGTGGACTATATGATTGATGCCGGGAGAAACGCGCATTTCTAAACCAGCTCTCACGCGGCCGGGTCAACCAATCGGGGCTGTAAGCACACTTGACAGGTTTGTTCTGGGCGGTCGGCCATTGACTAGGTTCTCTGACTAGCTTAGGCAGTTGGCTGAGTCTACAGTAGGTGGGGCGCGCTCATCAGCTCAGGGGTAGTGACTGGAAGTTTGTTGCAACATCGGCGAACCCATGCAGCAGGCCGGGGCAGGAGATACCCTTTTGCCCCACGAGCACAGAACCTGAAGGGGCAGAGCGCGGGCTAGGGAGATGCGTCAGACCCCAAGCGCCCAGCCCCTTCTCCCACGGCTGGTATCGCGCAGTGCTGGGTGATCGAGCGAGGAGTCTCAGGTCCCGGCCCTTTGGCTTGCAATGTGGATAGTAGTTAAGGGGTGAGACCAGCTTGGGGGTTCTCTCTCCGTAGTCTGCAAAAATCGGCGGCAGCCAGCGCAGTGGGGAGGCGGGGGCACGTGCTTGGAGGTGGGTGCTTGTGTAACCGGCTCCCCGGGCACTAGCCCCGACAGCGCTCCAGCAGGAGGCTAGTCCGAGCCCCTCTTTCTACCGCGGTCCATCAGGGACGGGGGTCCGACTGCAATCCGCAAGCGGGAGCAGCACGAGCAGAGCAAGCGAAGCACTTGCCCCCGGAGCTATCATAGGGGAGTGGGAATTTGGAAAGTTCCCCAACTAGGAACACACGTGACCTCCTCCAGAAAGTAGTTCCGACCATGGCCCGGGTATCCTTCCACTCCCTTTGAACCCTCCTAGGGCTCCTCGCCCCGCCCACTCTCAGGGCTGCAGCTTCCTACCGTTCTGTACTTTTCGCTGGGGCCACAGTAACCCGGGCCTCGAGCGCGCACCGCCGGGTCTAGGGTGCGCGGAACCTGGCCGCAGGCGATCCATCCTGCCGGGTTTTCGCAGCGGCCAGAAAGGGGCGGGGCGAGGTAGTCACCAAGGACTGAGCTTGAGTTCGACGCGGTGCTCCGACTTGCAGCCCTACCAGGAGAGATGCTCGCTCTTCAAGGGACAGTGGAGGAGAATGTGGTGTGCACTCCACTCTGGGGGGTCCGCTTTCAGTCCACCTAGGCAGGTGTCCTTTGAGCTCTGGAGATTTAGGAATGATGTGCTCACAGCCAGCGCCTTGAAGCTGGGAGCTTTCATTTTTTAGGGCAAATAAGCCGAGTTACCGAGGAAGCGAGAGGTGGGGCAGTGGAAGGGAGCCGGATGAGGTGATACACGCTGGAGACACAATAGGGGGTTGTTCTTTGTGCAAAGACTGACACCTTGAGGACGGGGGTGGGGGTGGGGGTGGGAGGCGGGAGCTCCAGGCGAAAGCTGCCACAGTCAAATCCCTGCGAACCATTGTGATCCAAAGCGGTGCAGGAGAGAGAATGCAGGCCGAACACGCAGGGGGAGAGCTAGGCGCAGAGGCGGGGGAGGGGTGTCCTCGCTGCAGGGGCAGTTAATGCATTTGCCTGTACACTGCCCGGCACGGTCACTTGGCCCTTTCCACCTGTGCGCAGGTAACCTCAGAGTCGAGGCAGTGACACTGCTCGATACTGGTCTCAGCTTTCAAAATCGGTCCTCCACCCACAGCCTGCAGCAGCCCACCCTGCCAGCCTACCTGGCACGGTTCCTGAGCAGAGGCCGAGGCTAAGGTCGTCACCCCCGCCCGGCGCTGCTGCAGAAGCAACCGCGGCAAGTGCAGCTACTGGTGGGCACCTAGGAGCCAGCCCGAGTGAGCCCGGCAGTCACACTGGGCATGCTCACTGGCGCCTGCAGGTTGGGGGCTCTGCGCTCGCACCCGGAGCGACGGTTCTGGCCCCCTCCTGCCGCCCCAGCTCCGTTTTCCCCTCCCCCGCGTGCTCCCGTCCGCCAGCCGCTCGTCTCCCGCCTGCCCTCGGGCTCCCGAGGCGCCCGGGCTCGCGGCGCGGCGGCGGAGGGGGCGGGCAGGCCGGCAGGCGGTGATGTGGCGGGACTCTTTGTGCACTGCGGCAGGATACGCGCTCGGGCGCCGGGACGCAACTGCTCTCAGTTCTCTCCTCTCGGAAGCTGCAGCCATGATGGAAGTTTGAGAGTTGAGCCGCTGTGAGGCGAGGCCGGGCTCAGGCGAGGGAGATGAGAGACGGCAGCGGCCGCGGCCCACAGCCCCCCCCCGCGGCTGGCG